GAGCCCCCCCCAGGACACTCATTCAGAGCCCCCCCAGCACACTCATACAGAGCCCCCCCCCCAGGACACTCATTCAGAGCCCCCCAGGACACTCATTCAGAGCCTCCCCAGGACACTCATTCAGAGCCCCCCCCCAGAACACTCATTCAGAGCCCCCCCCAGGACACTCATTCAGAGTCCCCCCCCAGGACACTCATTCAGAGCCCCCCCCAGGACACTCATTCAGAGCCCCCCCCAGGACACTCATTTAGAGCCCACCCCCAGGACACTCATTCAGAGCCCCCCCCTAGGACACTCATTCAGAGCCCCCCCCCAGGACACTCATTCAGAGCCCCCCCCCAGGACACTCATTCAGAGCCCCCCCCAGTACACTCATTCAGAGCCCCCCCCCAGGACACTCATTCAGAGCCCCCCCCAGGACACTCATTCAGAGCCCCCCCCTAGGACACTCATTCAGAGCCCCCCCAGGACACTCATTCAGAGCCCCCCCCCAGGACACTCATTCAGAGCCCCCCCCAGGACACTCATTCAGAGCCCCCCCCCAGGCCACTCATTCAGAGGCCCCCCCCAGGACACTCATTCAGAGCCCCCCCCAGGACACTCATTCAGAGCCCCCCCCCCAGGACACTCATTCAGAGCCCCCCCCAGGCCACTCATTCAGAGCCCCCCCCCAGGACACTCATTCAGAGCTCCCCCCAGGACACTCATTCAGAGCCCCCCCCAGGACACTCATTCAGAGGCCCCCCCCAGGACACTCATTCAGAGCCCCCCCCAGGACACTCATTCAGAGCCCCCCCCCCAGGACACTCGTTCAGAGCCCCCCCCAGGACACTCATTCAGAGCCCCCCCCCAGTACACTCATTCAGAGCCTCCCCCAGGACACTCATTCAGAGCCCCCCCCAGGACTCATTCAGAGCCCCCCCCCAGGACACTCATTCAGAGCCCCCCCCAGGACACTCATTCAGAGCCCCCCCAGGACACTCATTCAGAGCCCCCCCCCAGGACACTCATTCAGAGCCCCCCAGGACACTCATTCAGAGCCTCCCCAGGACACTCATTCAGAGCCCCCCCCCAGAACACTCATTCAGAGCCCCCCCAGGACACTCATTCAGAGTCCCCCCAGGACACTCATTCAGAGCCCCCCCCAGGACACTCATTCAGAGGCCCCCCCAGGACACTCATTCAGAGCCCCCCCAGTACACTCATTCAGAGCCCCCCCCCAGGACACTCATTCAGAGCCCCCCCCAGTACACTCATTCAGAGCCCCCCCCAGGACACTCATTCAGAGCCCCCCCCAGGACACTCATTCAGAGCCCCCCCAGGACACTCATTCAGAGCCCCCCCCCCAGGACACTCATTCAGAGCCCCCCCCCAGTACACTCATTCAGAGCCCCCCCCCCAGGACACTTATTCAGAGCCCCCCCCAGGACTCATTCAGAGCCCCCCCAGGACACTCATTCAGAGCCCCCCCCCAGGACACTCATTCAGAGCCCCCCCCCAGGACACTCATTCAGAGCCCCGCCCCAGGACACTCATTCAGATCCCCCCCCAGGACACTCATTCAGAGCCCCCCCCCCAGAACACTCATTCAGAGCCCCCCCCAGGACACTCATTCAGAGCCCCCCCCCAGGACACTCATTCAGAGCCCCCCCAGGACACTCATTCAGAGCCCCCCCCCAGGGACACTCATTCAGAGCCCCCCCCCAGTACACTCATTCAGAGCCCCCCCCAGTACACTCATTCAGAGCCCCCCAGGACACTCATTCAGAGCCCCCCCCAGGACACTCATTCAGAGCCCCCCCCCAGTACACTCATTCAGAGCCCCCCCCAGGACACTCATTCAGAGCCCCCCCCAGGACATTCATTCAGAGCCCCCCCAGGACACTCATTCAGAGCCCCCCCAAGACACTCATTCAGAGCCCCCCCCAGGACACTCATTCAGAGCCCCCCCCAGGAGACTCATTCAGAGCCCCCCCCAGGACACTCATTCAGAGCCCCCCCCAGGACACTCATTCAGAGCCCCCCCCAGGACACTCATTCAGAGCCCCCCCCAGGACACTCATTCAGAGCCCCCCCCCAGGACACTCATTCAGAGCCCCCCCCAGGACACTCATTCAGAGCCCCCCCCAGGACACTCATTCAGAGCCCCCCCAGTACACTCATTCAGAGTCCCCCCCCAGGACACTCATTTAGAGCCCCCCCCCAGGACACTCATTCAGAGCCCCCCCCAGGACACTCATTCAGAGCCCCCCCAGGAGACTCATTCAGAGCCCCCCCCAGGACACTCATTCAGAGCCCCCCCCAGGACACTCATTCAGAGCCCCCCCAGGACACTCATTCAGAGCCCCCCCCAGGACACTCATTCAGAGCCCCCCCCAGTACACTCATTCAGAGCCCCCCCCAGGACACTCATTCAGAGCCCCCCCCAGGACACTCATTCAGAGCCCCCCCAGGACACTCATTCAGAGCCCCCCCCAAGACACTCATTCAGAGCCCCCCCATTACACTCATTTAGAGCCCCCCCCCCGGACACTCATTCAGAGCCACCCCCAGGACACTCATTCAGAGCCCCCCTAGGACACTCATTCAGAGCCCCCCCCAGGACACTCATTCAGAGCCCCCCCCAGGACACTCATTCAGAGCCCCCCCAGGACACTCATTCAGAGCCCCCCCCAGGCCACTCATTCAGAGGCCCCCCCCAGGACACTCATTCAGAGCCCCCCCCAGGCCACTCATTCAGAGCCCCCCCCCAGGACACTCATTCAGAGCCCCCCCCAGGACACTCATTCAGAGCCCCCCCCCCAGGACACTCATTCAGAGCCCCCCCCAGGACACTCATTCAGAGCCCCCCCCAGGACACTCATTCAGAGCCCCCCCCAGGACACTCATTCAGAGCCCCCCCCAGGACACTCATTCAGAGCCCCCCCCCAGGACACTCGTTCAGAGCCCCCCCCAGGACACTCATTCAGAGCCCCCCCCCCAGTACACTCATTCAGAGCCTCCCCCAGGACACTCATTCAGAGCCCCCCCAGGACTCATTCAGAGCCCCCCCCAGGACACTCATTCAGAGCCCCCCCCAGGACACTCATTCAGAGCCCCCCCAGGACACTCATTCAGAGCCCCCCCCCAGGACACTCATTCAGAGCCCCCCAGGACACTCATTCAGAGCCTCCCCAGGACACTCATTCAGAGCCCCCCCCAGAACACTCATTCAGAGCCCCCCCCAGGACACTCATTCAGAGTCCCCCCAGGACACTCATTCAGAGCCCCCCCCCAGGACACTCATTCAGAGCCCCCCCCAGGACACTCATTCAGAGCCCCCCCAGTACACTCATTCAGAGCCCCCCCCAGGACACTCATTCAGAGCCCCCCCCAGGACACTCATTCAGAGCCCCCCCCCAGGACACTCATTCAGAGCCCCCCCAGGACACTCATTCAGAGCCCCCCCCAGTACACTCATTCAGAGCCCCCCCCCAGGACACTTATTCAGAGCCCCCCCCCAGGACTCATTCAGAGCCCCTCCCAGGACACTCATTCAGAGCCCCCCCCAGGACACTCATTCAGAGCCCCCCCCAGGACACTCATTCAGAGCCCCCCCAGGACACTCATTCAGAGCCCCCCCCCCAGGACACTCATTCAGATCCCCCCCCAGGACACTCATTCAGAGCCCCCCCCCAGAACACTCATTCAGAGCCCCCCCCAGGACACTCATTCAGAGCCCCCCCCCCAGGACACTCATTCAGAGCCCCCCCCAGGACACTCATTCAGAGCCCCCCCCAGCACACTCATTCAGAGCCCCCCCCCAGTACACTCATTCAGAGCCCCCCCCAGTACACTCATTCAGAGCCCCCCCCAGGACACTCATTCAGAGCCCCCCCCAGGACACTCATTCAGAGCCCCCCCCCCAGTACACTCATTCAGAGCCCCCCCCCAGTACACTCATTCAGAGCCCCCCCCAGGACACTCATTCAGAGCCCCCCCCCCACCAGGACACTCATTCAGAGCCCCCCCCAGGACACTCATTCAGAGCCCCCCCCAGGACACTCATTCAGAGCCCCCCCCCCAGGACACTCATTCAGAGCCCCCCACCAGGACACTCATTCAGAGCCCCCCCCCCACCATCTCCAAGCAGCCCACGACGGTGACGCCCTAACGCCTCCCTCGGGATTTTCGAAGCCACCGCCGCCGCGATGCAGCGACGGCGCAGCAATCCGTCGAGGAAACGCAACGCGCGACTGCCTCGCCCCACCTCATTTACATTCACATTGCGAGCAATGATCAACAGGTGAAGATCAGCCTGGAGGATTAGATCATCTGGAGATTACGCACCACTGATAACGGAACATCCAGCCTCATCTTTACTTAATGCCTATCAGAACATAATATGCTAACGGGGATTTTGTTCACAAGTACATTCCAAATGATGCTCTTGGCGTCACGTAATGAGATGAATATATTTCTATTCCGGACCGGCAGAGCTAGCTGTGCACCACCTTGTGTCGGGGGATGGCCCCAGAAGGTGTTACAGAACTGCTTCAGGGATCTCTGTATGCACACGAGGGCCAAGCACGCCTTTTAACGCTTTGCAAGGATTGTTTGCCGCATGTTTCGGCGAAAGCAAAATAAAATACAAAACCCTCATTGAATGAGATTATTTGCTTTGTGTGTGCAGTCGTTGACGACCAGGGTCACGCCATAAGCTCACCACCACGTGAGAAGCTATTTTAATCACGAGTAAACATTATTTGGTGTGATGCACAAGCAGAAATATAACAACAAAAACTCACTAAAACCCCTGACGATTATTGATATCTTTTTAGTTTTAAAGTCATTGCCATTGACGAATGTGTTGAGTGTTTTAGTTTAACCGCGGGTGGACCGATGCCTGGTTTTGAACTCAGGATGTCAGCTCGTGGTTGCTCACTGCTCTCACCGCTAGGTCACCCATGCACCTCGAATAGACCAAATGTGTGCACCGCATGCCGCGCGTAAAAACTTACCATCATAAAACTCAGAGCTTGACTGTTGAGCGACTGGAATTTAATCTCCAAGGGCTCCTGTAAAATGTGAGGGACACAGAGAGGGCAAAAGTGTGGGAGGAAGTCAGCAATAAGATAATATAGCCTGAATGTTAAAAGGCAAGATAATAAATTATACAGCTCGAATAACAGAACGGTAATGCATTTTCATCCGTGCTTTGATATTGCTACCGAAGCTTAAAAATATACTTTACGCCCGAAAGCAATTACTTTAAAAGCTCCTCATAAAGTTCTGAAGACGTCTGTCCAGCATATGAACAACTAGAATGTATAATAGTTCCAGTCAAGGTCGCACTGAGGATATGATCATCAGTAAATATCCCAGTTTAATCATCAATACAGAATGATCCGAAAATTATTGGCAATGCTTTTGAGACCTAACAAGGCCACTCGCCAGTCACACGTTGATGTTCGGTATCATTATTTAATCGCAATTAACAGAGGGAACTGAGCATTTTAGCCCCTCGGCTGAGCTGGCTAACACATAGCAACAGCACCTTAAGCAAAGTTCAGTGTTGTCACAATGTGTGTGTGTGTAGGGTCACAGTGTTCGTGTGTGGTGTATGCGTGTGTGGCGGTAGAGTAGGGGAGCGGTAGTGTAGCGGTTAGCCGTCAGGACTCGACGCGAACGAACGCTCTGAAAGAGTTTTATCATTCTGACGCGAAAATAGTTTCCGCACATAGGTACAAATATGTTTTAGTCTATCGGTCTAATGCCTTTTTAGACCAATGTCATTTATTTATATGTATATTCAAATGTTGATTGATAATATTGGTCTGGATAGCCAGTAGGCTGATGGACTAAAACATTTGTGTTGATATTTGTGAGACAGAAGAACCAAGTGCTGCTTCTATTTTCTTCTACCCATAATGCTCTACGGCATTTCCAAGTGAATGTGTGTACCGATATTAATGGGGATGTGAAGTCAGTAGTTAAATAGCTGGGTGCAATGGTTTTGCATACTGTATTATGAACCCATACTGGCGACAACTAACACACCGGTGAGTGATATCTAAACTGATCCTGGTCCTCCACCCCCACTTGCCTACTCTCATTGACCAGCGTGGTGAAGTATGGTCAAACAACCCCAATGACAAACACAGCATGGGAAGGAGAGGCCATCAGCCAGCAGTGACACGACAAAAGAGCTGTAAAATAAAATTATAAGCTCGACCGTATTTATTTAAATGTTTTTTCGAATATTTTTTTCATAAATATACATTTTATAAATCAATAAATATTTAGCTGTTCCAATCGTTTACAGTGCAGATGCACAGTGCTGCCGTTGGTTCATCGCCCTGGCGTCCCACGTTTTGCCCCACGTAGCCCGGGGGGCTTAGTTCCTGAAGAAGCCCCGGGTACGTGGAAGCAAAACGTCGGACATCGTGGCAGACGCCACACTCGGTACGACCCGGCAAAAATACATAAAACGGAGACCACCTACGCATTAGCAACACAGTGGATGGCAGTGGAGAGAGCTATTAAAAAAAACCTGAGCGAGACTTCTCCTTTCAAATGGAATTAGTTTCCTTCTTGGAACATTTCACTTAAAGTAAATGTCGCCTTCTTGGGATGGTGTTGTTTTGTTTGAAACGTTTTAGTCGCTGGAATATCACACGTGTTGCCTCAGTTCCACATGTGGTGAAGATGACACCGATAATAAAAAACACTTTCAACTTTGGCTGTGTAGCAATGGGTTTTAGCGTATTTTGATTATCGTGCCAACACACATGGTAACCTGTTGCTTAGATGTTCTTTTGGAAAAATGTTGTATTCCCTATTACAAAAAAGGAGAATACTTTATGTTATTCCTATGTAAGACAAGTGCTAATTTACGTGGAAACTTTCCATGCAAGCATTTAAAACGTTTGATCTCTTCATAAAACCTCCATAAAGTTGTGCTGCTTTAATTTTTTAAATATGTTTTTTTTTAATCGAGGCAGTGTGCGGGACCGATAGATCACATTCTGACGCACGTATACACCACCAACATTGTAGCAGGGTTAAATAAACTCTGAACATTTTCCGGGCCTCTCCTAGGCCCTTAAATAAGGACGATGTATAAACATAATCACTGGAGAGTGAAAGTCAGACAGGAGTGGTGCTGGCCACGCTATCTCTGTTGTGTCGTGCCAGCTTGATTTGGCTCTCGCGAACAGCTCTTGTGCCAGCCGCCTATCCAGTGTCATCATCGGCGGACCTCTCTGCCATGCATTTGACGTGAAAGTGGCTTCAGGATTGACCCCCGAGGCAGGGGGTGGGTGGCGGCGTGGGTGACCTCACCATGACGTCGGGCTCGGGGATTCCCAGTCCACTGAAGTATTGGTTACACGCGAACGCCTGCTGGTGCCTGGGAATGAGGTCCCCTGGTAGGTGACAGGAGACAGCCAGGAAATGCAACAATGAGCAGGTTAAGCGATGGTTAGTTGTATATAATTGTATATAATTGTATAAAGTTGCATATAATTGTATATAGTTGTATAAAGTTGTATATAGTTGTATATAGTTGTAGAAAGTTGTATATAATTGTATATAATTGTATATAGTTGTATAAAGTTGTATATAATTGTATATAGTTGTATAAAGTTGTATATAGTTGTATAAAGTTGTATATAGTTGTATATAATTGTATATAGTTGTAGAAAGTTTATATAATTGTATATAGTTGTATTTAGTTGTATAAAATTGTATATAGTTGTATAAAGTTGTATAAAGTTGTATATAGTTGTATATAGAGTAATGAGCTACCGTAATGAGGTCGTGCATTAACGGATCACACCGCTAGAATCGCTGTGGAGTGTGGAACACCCACGTGACGCTACATTGTCAACCATATTTCCAGGTATGGACCAGCACTTCAATATACACTCGCAACTTTTTACCTGTGGCACACCGCGGTTAGAGGATACAAGGGAACCAGAGGATGTGATGTAAGGATGAAGAAAAAGAAACAGGAAAGGAAAGAGAGGAGAGAAAGAATGGGAAACACGAGGAAAAGGATGGAAAAAAATGTGAACAACGGGAGCAAAGGGTGAGGAGAGATGAGGATGGGCGGGAAGAGACGGCATCAGCTGCGTCTGTTTTCACAGGGGGCAGGGAAAGGGGAGGGATTTAGAGTGGCGGCGGCCACACAGAAGTCACGTAATTTATGGGAGGCTTGGGCCTTGAGACTTTGTGAGAATTTCGTGGATAAATAAATTACATTATCACTGCATTATCACTACTTCTCCAATGTGTATTCGGGTTGTACCACCTGCTGCTCGTCACAATGTCTTCAGTCGCCGTATCACAAACTTTGCTGATCTCGTCAGGGAGCATAAACCATCACGCAAACTCCGGTCATCCTTGCAGTGGCTTTTGGCAAACCATCAAACAAAGACAGCCACTTGCATCGTGCGATTTCAGATGCGCTTATGCGGCCGTCTGGAACGTTCTTCCAATATTGGGAAGCTACTGGAGCTATGCACTTGGAAATCTAGATTGAAAAATAATTTCTCTAGAACTGCTTTTTGTGTTCAGATTGTTGTCCTTTCCCGCACATCCGATTAGCACGGTTGGCTACGTTCGGTGCAAAAGAAGTTCAACACGCATGCAAACATTCGTTTCCTGAAGAAGCTTTCCTGCACGCGGAGATAGACGTCGGACATCGTTCCGAACAACTCACGCTACTTTACCGATAGACCAAAGAATATGAACTCACGGTACAACCCGAAACCCCCCTTTCGCAGTATTGTCATTGCTTGATGTCACAAATCAATGTTGGCTACAACTCTGAGACTCGGTCGAAGAGTGTGCCACGTGCGTGGCCTCGCTGACGCAAAAAAGAGGCTTGGCAATTTTTTTTTCCTTTCCCCAGTTGCCGCTGTTGACATTGCTGAAGGCTGGGCGTTCCGCACGCCCCGTAAAACGCGCCGGAACCGAATTCGAGGCGGAGAGAGCCGCCTCCCGCTGCACGAGACAAATGAGCCTCGTGGCCCCCGCTGGTACCCATTTGTAACCTCATAGCCGAGTGCGAGCGAATCAATCGGCAACATCAATTCCAGGATTGCTTTCGAGGCCATTCATTCGTTCGTTTTCTCATTCATTTGTGTGTGGGGTTCTTTTTTTTTTAAATCGGCATCTACTGTTTCCAGGCCAGACACGTCGTGTATTTCTTTTCTCGTTTTGTCATAAAGCTGGGGCGGATTTCCTTGCAGGGCTGACCCACACTCGCAGCTCAACCACGTGTCCCTTGCCTGACGTTGCGTGTTGGGTGCTAGTGTCACGCTGGTATGGGGAAAAAAATGTTGTTTACTTTCATTTCTTGAAATGGTAACAACTTCCGGCTGTGTCTTCCAGGAAGGTGGTCGTTCGTGAGAATGACATTATCACGAAACGGTGGCTCTGGAACTCCCACCATTGTTTGCTGGCCTCACGTCGCTTGTGGATTACGGTGTCACAAAGTGAATAATTGATTTCGTCTAAGTGTATTTTTCCTTTACCTTTCATACTATTGTCACAATTTATGTCCATGCAGTCATGACACAGGAGATTAAGTGTCCATCGGAACTCTCAGGTCAGTGCATCACCCTTATGCACCACCACTGAGCCACCTCTTCCCAGTGTAAACGTGTGACATTTCCATGTGCGCGCACGGCTGCGTGTGAGCACTTTGCGTGCGTGTGAGTACTTTGCGTACCGAGCGTGCACGTGATGAGGTAGATTTGGTCGAGGTCGGAGCGTCCGGGCCACAGCGCGTTGCCCGTGAGCATCTCGGCGAAGACGCAGCCCACGGCCCAGACGTCGACGGGCGGCCCGTACTGCGTGTCGCCCACCAGCAGCTCGGGCGCGCGGTACCAGCGCGTGGCCACGTAGTCCGTGTACTCGTCCCCGGGACTCGCTGCGGATGCGGCAGCGGAGGATAAACTTGAGCTCATGGCGCGCCGCACTGCCCTCTGCCGCCTAACAAACTCCGAAGACACTTGTCTCGCGTGCGCGGTGGTCAGCCCTTCCCGAGCACTGTCCAGGCTGAGACCTGCTCGGCTTCCGAGGTTGGATGGGATCGGCTGCATTCTGGGTGATTTGGGTCGTAAGGCATAGCATTCGTGCAAATCATCGACAGTCAATTCTGAGGGCTCACAGCTCGATGCGTGCAGAAGGAGAGGTGCGGCCAAATCGATTCATGTTCACGCCCTTGGTTCTCACGCGGAGGGGAGCGGAGTTCCATGTCCCCTCTGTTATTTCTGTGCCCAACAAGTTATGTTCACGCTCCACGCCACTCGGTTTCAGGTGGCGGGGGCGGAGCGGCGGGGGTGGGGGGGTCGTATTTTCCACCGTTTTATTCTGAATGTTCTTATTGGCACAATGTCATGGAATTAAAACATCTCCTTTTGAAACTCTCACGGAGTTAGCAGGGAAGTACATAATCAAACCATGTGACTAAGCGCTAGTGGCACAAAATGCTCCTAAACGGTGGTTGAGCGTGTATACAATAGTGCTCTCTTGTGTTTGAGGCAGTACTCTTGCCAATAAAATCTGGAAACCTAGCAGTGTATTTTTTTTAAAGGCCTCACTGCACTGATGACATCCAAAATGTCGAAACCAGCTTCGGACTTGTTTTATTAAACAAACGTTGTTGGATAGCGTAAGTCGGGACAGCCAATGAGTAGCGTAAGTCGGGACAGCCAACGGGTAGCGTAAGTCGGGACAGCCAATGAGTAGCGTAAGTCGGGACAGCCAATGAGTAGCGTAAGTCGGGACAGCCAATGAGTAGGGTAAGTCGGGACAGCCAACGGGTAGCGTAAGTCGGGACAGCCAATGAGTAGCGTAAGTCGGGACAGCCAACGGGTAGCGTAAGTCGGGACAGCCAATGAGTAGCGTAAGTCGGGACAGCCAATGAGTAGCGTAAGTCGGGACAGCCAACGGATAGCGTAAGTCGGGACAGCCAATGAGTAGCGTAAGTCGGGACAGCCAATGAGTAGCGTAAGTCGGGACAGCCAACGGATAGCGTAAGTCGGGACAGCCAACGGGTAGCGTAAGTCGGGACAGCCAATGAGTAGCGTAAGTCGGGACAGCCAACGGGTAGCGTAAGTCGGGACAGCCAACCAGCCGACATACAAATAAAAAAGACTTCCCGATTTCAGAGCGGGCAGAAAAAGATATTTTTTTAAACGTGGATTAGAATAACATATGCAGGTGAAAGGGCGAATAAAAATGGTTAAGGTAATTAAGTGGGATCCTGCGGGACACGCCGCTAGAAGGGCTGACGGCCGATGGTTGGGGTGGCAGCCGTGGAATGGAACGAAGTCCGAGAGACGTCCACCAAGGAGATGGAGCGATGGAATTAGCTCATCTTATGTTATACACATTTATATATCGCCTTAGTCCAAGACACTTTACAATAGTTATACAATTGTACGTGAGATGAGAGTGGTTAAAATAAAGAGTGGCATTATAAAAAGTGGTAGTGAATGTGTACGTTGAACTTCTTTCACACCGTACATATCCAACCGTAGCTATAGTGACAGGGGGACAGGAGGAGTGATTAAGCAGGGGGTGGGGTAGGTCTGGGCATAGCTGGGGAGCAGGGGCAGGGAGTACCAAGTAGGGGTAAGGATGGTGATAGGGGTTGTGGTAGTGATAGGGGTTGGGGTAGTGATGGGGGTTGTGGTAGTGATGGGTGTTGTAGTGATAGAAGTAGTGGTAGTGATGGGGGTTGTGGTAGTGATGGGGGTTGTGGTAGTGATGGGGGTTGTAGTGATAGAAGTAGTGGTAGTGATGGGGGTTGTGGTAGTGATAGAAGTAGTGGTAGTGATGGGGGTTGTGGTAGTGGTAGGAGTTGTGGTAGTGATAGGAGTTGTGGTAGTGATAGGAGTTGTAGCAGTGATAGAAGTAGTGGTAGTGATGGGGGTTGTGGTAGTGATGGGGGTTGTGGTAGTGATGGGGGTTGTAGTGATAGAAGTAGTGGTAGTGATGGGGGTTTTGGTAGTGATGGGGGTAGTGATAGTTATAGTGGTTGTGGTAGTGATGGGAGTTGTGGTAGTGGTAGGAGTTGTGGTAGTGATGGGAGTTGTGGTAGTGATGGGGGTAGTGATAGTGATGGGGGTTGTAGTGATAGAATTAGTGGTAGTGATGGGGGTTGTGGTAGTGATGGGGGTTGTGGTAGTGGTAGGAGTTGTGGTAGTGATGGGAGTTGTTGTTGTGATAGGAGTTGTGGTAGTGATGGGAGTTGTTGTTGTTGTGATAGGAGTTGTGGTAGTGATGGGAGTTGTGGTAGTGATGGGAGTTGTTGTTGTGATAGGAGTTGTGGTAGTGATGGGAGTTGTGGTAGTGGTAGGAGTTGTGGTAGTGATGGGAGTTGTTGTTGTGATAGGAGTTGTGGTAGTGATAGGAGTTGTGGTAGTGATGGGGGTTGTTTTAAGAGAGGAACCGATGCAGGTCAACTCGTGTGCCGGTGCCGGATGGATTGTTACAACGCAGAATCGATGACGTGGTAACATCTTGACAACTTGGAGAGGTCTTCATAAAACAGGAGATTGATTGAGGCTGATGACAACGATGATGATGACGGTGGCACAAAGAGAGGAGTGGGAGTCTATTTATCGAATACTCATCTCGATCGAAAGTCTTTTAATTCTGCAAGCTTTAATCGGTAGGCCGGCAGCAGCAGGCGAAACTAAACTACTAAACTATCTTCATTGAAACTATTTTTTATGTTTACCAGGTAAAGCCCATTGATATATATACAGTAAAACCTTGGATTGCGAGCATAATTCGTTCCGGAAACGTGTTTGTAATCCAAAGCACTAGTATATCAAAGCACTCGTATATCAGTTGTGATCACGTGACGCTCGGCAGACAAAGCGTATACGTACTACTCGTATTGCAAGACCTCGCTCGTTTATCAAATTAATATTTATTTAAACATTTTTGCTCGTCTTGCAAAACACTCGCTGACCAAGTTACTCGCAATCCAAGGTTTTACTGGAGTTATTTTTTCAGAAGCGAGCTGGCCACAAGTGATATCACGTGTAAATGTATCGCAGCCAAACACTCTAAAACTCACGTTGCTAAATGTGGAGGCAAAAAAAGGACTCGGATAAAAATCCACGCGACCGCGGGGAGGGAGAGAGACACGCAAACTCCAAATATACAGCAGCAGCAGGCGTCAGGGTCAGGATCGAACCCGCGACCCCCTGCATACCAGGCGAGGGAGTTAACATCTCCTAGCCACCGCGGAGCCCTCATCGTCACCCCGTGGCCCAGCGAGGGACACAATTGCCATGTGTCTGGACCCATCGGCCAAGGGCACGGCGATCCGTTTGATTTTGGAAGACGGCCCTCCCGTGTGGTCACACGCAGGCTCGAGCGTGCTGGGGGGAGGGGGGGGGCCGGGCCCTCGTGTGGTCAGGAGGCCATAGCCGAGGGTGCTCCCCTTGCCCTCCCGCCTGCCCGCGTTGCCATGGCGTCCGCAGCACAAGTGGAAACCTCTTCAAGGCCCGGCCAGCTGAAAGGAATTCTTTGGTGCGACGCGACTGTCAGTCATGACAGCGGTAGCCCCCTCTCTCTTTACTTTCCCCTTTTCGTTCCCCACCTCCTTTCTGTTCGTCCATTCTTCCCCCCTTGCTTGCCATTATCCGCGTATTTACGCATCTTCCTTTGCGCCCTTTATGCTTCTTAATTATCATCTCTATAATCTCCGTATATCACCGTGTGCCTCTCTCTATATGCTCAAAAAAGACGACGTTTTCTCCCCGGTTCCTGCATAATGCAACTACGTGGGTGTGGGTGTGCGTGCTTTGGCTGGCCCCATTCTAGTCAGAGCTGACGGCTGTCACATTTACTGTCTTGCAGGGCACAATGTCCACATGTGTGCATTGATTCAGGAATGGTCGTTGCTGAGAGTTTTTTTTTAAGTCAGTATAATTCATAATAAAGGTTTTTGGGTTAGATCGCGTTATTTATAAATGTGTCGTAACCCTCCACCACCCGACACGGACAATCAGCAAAAAAGTGTCACGTTGACAAAAGACAAATAGCTCACTACTTTAGCCCACCGGTGTGTTGAAGAGTGAATCCTCAACATTTACAGTTTGAGTACGACGTTTCGCTGGTAATTACATCCTTTATTATGAATAATATTGGTCGCGAAAGCCTACGTGTTAAACAAGCCAGTATAATATGACAAACTCTCTATTATTACTACAAAGAATAATTTAAAATAATGTATAACCCTTTGTCGGTCAACTGCTGAATGAAGCTCTCCCCATGCCGAGTCAGTCGTGGTGGGTGGCGGTCGCCCAGATGCGTGCAGCGGGGGGCCGGGGAGTGTAGGGAAGAGGGCAGGCCTGACTCGGACATCGCTCGCCATTGCCAGGGCTCGAACTCGGGTCCTTGGGTTTGTAGCGCCGGGGGCTCGCCAACCACCCACCGCGCCACTGCTCCGCCAAGACCCTATATCGGGATGATATTTTTTCTCCGAAATATAAAAACCTATTTTCATACCGCACACTAGCGAGATTGAACTTACGTAAGAATACACGGCCGAAGTAGAGCCGTATAAATGAGGGGAGGGGGGGGGTGGTCATGTGACGATGACAAAGGCAATCCTTAACGCCTCGTGTGAACATCAAGTTGGCCCTGATGCTAATCCTGGTGTTTCAAATGTGAGCAGGAGGGGGGTGTGTTTGTGTTCATGTAATAGACGGTGGAGGATGGTGGAGGGAGGGAGTGGAGTGGGATTAGGAGGCCACTTACTGAGGATCCTGGCGAAACCAAAGTCACACAGCTTGATGACGCCCTGCCTGGTGATGAGTATGTTTTCAGGCTTCACGTCACGATGGATGCACTGCCGAGGGGGAGGGGGTCAAAAGAAAAATCAGTCACGGTCTCAATGCATTTGGACTGCTGGTTCACACCGTTTCGCGTCCAGCAGCTCTCTCCGAGAGTGATTTTGGGTTGGGTGGCCCATATTGTTTGGCACGGTGACCCATCATTCAAATCTGCAAATTTTCGAGAGAGAACTGATCGCAACGGAGCTCTCTTCACGCGAGAGCTGGGGGTGCATGCAAATGCACATCTTTGCTGCGGCGTTAAATCCGCGGCGTCCGTCGTTTCGTCACGCGTTTGCTGGGAGCCTCTCCGAGGACAATAACTGAAGCTCCCGGCACGTGCAGCGCGAAATGTCGGACATCGTGCAGCGGACAACACGGGGTACGACGCCCGGCAACGCATCGGCCCGGCACAATACAGCACAACTGTAAAAATGTACACATTAGTACACGACATCATCATTACATATGGCGAGCGGGCTGTGTATATATACACACATACACTAAGTGAAGCAATGATGTTTCGTTCCTTAGCAACGTAGCCTTGAAGCTCGTGCATTGAGCTTGTTAGGGGAGCATGGGATCCTAATGAGTTCACCAGAGCCGATCCTGTGTGTGTGCGAGCGAGATCCACTTTGGTGAGCGACAGGAGAATTGCTCAGACGAAGGAGAATTGTGTGGAAGAAGGGGGGTGGGGGTGCCTTCAGGATGCGTGGTGGCGAGATGTTAACTACCTCGCCTGGTATACAGGAGGTTTCGATCCCGACACCTGTGTCGTTGGAGTTTTGTATGTTCCCCTCGGGGTCGCCTGGATCTTTCTCCGGGCTCTCCGGTTTTGCGCTCCACATTTAGAAAGAAGCCTTTTAGAGTATTTGGCTGCTGTAAATTTCCACGTGATAAGTCACTTCGTCGGGCTTTCGTTTGTGACCAGGTCGTTTCTGAAACAAAATAGCTACGTAGCTCAGTGGACCTTGCCTGGTAAAAATATATATATAAAAAACAAAATAGTTTATGGTTTAGTTTGAAAGGTTTTAGTGTGGGGTTCACCAGGTTGTGGAGTCAACATTTTCCGCTGGTTTAAACACTGACGTGTGAATTAGAACGATGAGCAGCGCACCGGGAAGGCCTCCCACGTGTCCCCTACTTCATTACTCGCAGCTACAACGCCGCTTGTTCCATTGGCAGAGGTTAAGCGCCGAAATCACTTTCCATCAAAACATCATTGACGGAGCTCCGGAGCGAGAGCCCCTCTGAGAGTGTATTTTGGCCTACTCTTCCACGTTGGGCAGACAACTTGAAACACATGGGAATATCCACGGCTTTACCCCGCCACATGTGACCCACCGATTGACGACCCGTGGTTTATTAATTTATACCGCCGGGTATGTGTGTGCGTTGAACTTCTTTCGCACCGTTCGTATGCATTCCCCACCCATAGGGCTGTGACAACTGCGTTCCAATGTTCCACCATCACACACACACACACCCGGTCTCGCGCCGTTGTTTCTACGAAACTTATCCGACCGTGGTGTCCTGCCCGCGAATCACGAGTCACGATTCCGAGTCTGCGAGACCTAAAAAGGAGGAGGAGGAGGCTCCGGGGTGCCGAGTTGTGGAAACCATCGCCCTGGCCCCGCGTGCGTGCAGACACACACACACGTGTACAGTCATCCGGACCTAAACAAACAGATGCCGATGATGCTTATGCGCTTCGATTTTCTCTCCCCGCGCGCATGGAAACCAGAAAAAAAAACCTCGCGGCCACACACCCCCACGGTCGCCGGCACCTCGGTACCCAACGCCAATAAACGTCGGGCGGGCGTAAATCAGGTGGAGAATGCTGCCTTCCTGACGCACACACAGAGCGGGTGGGCCCTGTCCAACCGTGGCCGCTCCGCGCTGTAAACACGGAGCTGAGCGAAGGGAACGCGCACGCACATATACACAAAGATGCCCCCCCCACCCCGTATAGCCTCACACAAGGCTGTGGGGACAAGTGCTGTTGCCAACCAGCACCGATAAAAGAAGGCCAGCAAGGCACCCGAGGAGGGCCCGGGTTCAACGTGGAACGTTTGGGGCGAACGTTGGGCCAACGGTGCCAACCACATTCCAACGTTGACCCGATATTTGTCTCCACAATACTGATGTGTGTTAAGGCTGGGTTGACCTAGGCGAAGTCTAGGGCAGGTTCAGATATTCGCCAATGATGATGGCCGTGAGCAGGAATCTTAACTCGGGCCGCCAGGTTCGTAGCGCGGTGCGCTAACCACTGCACCAGCAGCTCCCCACACACAAGGACACATCCGCACACGCGCGTGCATATGTGGACATACTCACGTACATGGACACATGGACACACGCTCATGCACACGTTACTAACGCGCACGCACGAGTGCACACACGCACACGTGCATCCGCACACATACGCACGCACAAACAGGCATAAAAAAGACAAAGATCCCCCGTGTAGCCTTCACAGACTGTAGGGGCAAGTGCTGTTAGCGAGCACCTATAAAGGCTGGCACGGCACACGAGGGGGTGGGTGGCCAACACCACCACCGGCCGCCTTTGTCTCCCCAGTAGCGATGTTGACTACACACCGCACCAGGTACTCATTCGAGGCTGAATCGACCTAGGGGAGACCCAGGACCGGTTCAGATAATCGTCACCGGTGTTGGCCGTGAGCGGGAATCGAACCCGGGTCGCCAGGTTCGGGGCGCAGCGCTTACCGCTACAAACAGGCATGCACACCCAAACACATACGTCCACACAAACACGCAGGCAAAACAACTTTTCTCACTTGTTTTTACAGACCACCGAACAAGACCACACACGCGCAAACATCTCCTCTACCTGACGCTGCCACTCCTGATAACAAAGATCCTAAGACGTTAATGGCCAATATAATGTTACAACTGACGGAGGTTTACAACGCTCGTCACTATTTCAATCATAAGTTGCCATCCTGTTAGGCAGTGGACATACACGCTTAACGTATAGATTGCAAGATGTTTTGACCACCCACCGCTGTTACGGACGGCGTGTGCAACACCCCTTGTCAATAAACTGCTCGGCGAGACTCTCCGCACTGGACGTCTGTGAAACAGGGCTTCATAGCTCATCGGATTGCTCCCGTCTAAATGGAGATTCTGATTCCGTACAGGTCGCAGCGGTTATTTGTCTGTAACGTCGCCATGCTGGTCAGTGCGGGCTGAAAGAGGGCAGCGTAGAAGTACAGCACAACAGTGGATTTTGCTGCACTGCTGCTTAACTTCCAATGATCTATATTCTTAGCTCTTTCGGTAAAGTCACGTTGAAGGGAAACAATAAAAGAATAAAATATATATAAAACAATAAAAATTCTCACGACGTTTCGACCATAACACAAACGGTCGTCATCAGGTGTGTCGGTTGGCATTGCCAACCGACACACCTGATGTGTGTATGCAGTATTTTATCGACACACCTGATGACGACCGTTTGTGTTATGGTCGAAACGTTGTGAGAATTTTGTATTGTTTTATATATATTTTATTATTTTATTGTTTCCCTTCAACGTGACTTTACCGAAAGAGCTAAGATTATGGATCACTGCAGTCACGAAAGCTTTAAATCAAAATTTTAATTCCAATGATCTGTCAAGATCGTGCGAATTCCATGTGGTTTGCTCATAGGCTGAATGATAAATATGTGCGTGTGTGTGTATGCAGTGTTTTATCGTCTTGCCCGTGATGCATACACCTGTCAATACTGCACGTCCTAGCGAACAGAATGTGGCCTTTTTCCTTTTCAAAGATATACGCTGCTCCTTTGTCGCAGATCTCATCCAATGTGTGCACCTTGTTTTTTTGGGCCCGAGTCCTTACGCCGGTTGTGTCAATAGCTCGTTCACCTCCTTCAGAGTCCTGCTGAAGCATCTTCAAGGGCTGCGGAACTGTACCGAGCGTCAAAACTGCCGGCCTGTGGCACTTCATGGAGGCGTAATCTCGACCGTCCGCCAAATACCTTACGAAAAATGCTCAACAAAATCACCGCGCATATTATCGCACGGTGATCCACATTTAAAGATCGCAGCTGAAATAATAAAAAAAATGTGCAAGTGAGGCGGCACTTGGACTGGCAGCGTCTCCGCGTGTAATCGGGCATTTTTGGTTCCTTCCCAAATGCCAAAAATATGTTTCGTATACGAGCGGAAACAAATATAATAATCGTCATGCATATCCATGGGATACTGTTACACTCTCCACTACACCCATGTCCTCAGAAGTGTTTATAGTAGTACGGAAAACGAATGGGTATCTGAAAAAATAAGAATAGGTTTTCCCCTTTTTTGGCAATAAAACAGGTATTAAGATTTTGATTTAAAGCTTTCGTGACTGCAGGGATTCATATTCTTGGTTCTTTCGGTAAAGTCACGTAGAAAGGAAACAATAAAAAATAAAAATATATAAAACAATAAAATTCTCACGACGTTTCATGCTTATCTTGCAGTCGAAACGTCGTGAGAATTGTATTGTTTTATATATATCTTTTTAAAATTATTTTATTGTTTCCCTTCTACGTGACTTTACCAAAAGAACCAAGAATATAGGTTTCAAGATGTTCAAACACCAAAAATAAACCTCTTGCAAAGAACTGTACTGTTCGCGTTTTGGTGAACAACCCGATGATCAACCCGGCCGATATTCATGAGGTGACAAGTGGCAACTCGGACAAAACGTTCTCCGTGCTAAAGTTTACTTCGGATTCGATCATCTTCGTGTGAGTTGCTCCCCCCCCCCGCTCACATTACCGACGGACAGACAGAGAGGGCTAACGCGTAAACGCTTTCAACGTCAGATGTAAGGTATTAAAAACGGAAAGAGCCAAACATAGCAAGCAATGTCTACTTGCAAATGCAGTGACACATTGCGTGTGGCTTTCTCTTGGACGCTGCCCCGTCTCCTCCCACGCGAAAAAAGACGCCACTAAATTTTGCCAAAACATTCACCAAGCTCGTGAAAAAATAAAGACCCGGTGAAATGTTGTGTTGATGAATATGTATTACATACATTTAATAGAATAACAAATTCTATATTGTGTGCATATAAAATGTGTTTTGCATGCAGGAGATGCGTGGATGAATGTGTGTTATGCTTCTGGATGAGTGCGTGTGTTCGATTTAGCACGTGTTTTACACGCGTGTCACCGCGCGTTTGGGCAACATACGGTTTACACGTGTGTGTGCGTTCATGCGGCAGTGTGGTGGTTAGCTCACGGCCAGCGCCGGTAACGATTTTCTGAACCGGTCCTGGGCCTCCTCTAGGTCGACTCAGCCTCAAATGAGTACCTGGTGCGGTGTGTAAACATCGCCACTGGGGAGACAAAGGCGGCCGGGCGTGGTGCTGGCGAACCACCCCCTCGTGTTCCGTACTGGTCTTCATAGGTGCTCGCTAACAGCGCTTGCCCCAACAGTCTGTTAAAGCTATACGGGGATCTTTGTGTTTGCGGGTGTTCATGCGTGTGTGTACACACACACGCATGAATGTGTGTATATCTACGTGCATGCGTGCAGGCGCCTTGTGTGTATAGCGGGAGCGGTGGCACAGTGGTTAGCGGGCTGCAATATGAACTTGGCGACCCTCGCTCGATTCCCCCTCGCAGCGTCGATTATCTGAACCGGTCCTGGGCCTCCTCTAGGTCGACTCAGCCTCACATGAGTACCTGCTGCGGTGTGTAAACATCGCCACGAGGGAGACAAAGGCGGTCCGGGGCACGGTGCTGGCCTACCACCCCATTGTATACCGTGCCGACCTTCGTAGGTGCTACTCGCTAACAGCACTTGCCTCGAAAATCTGTTGAGGCTCCGAGGAGGATCTGTGTCTTTGTCTCGCGTGTGTACCTCCACGTCAAAGGAAATGCAATGAAAAATAAAAACGTATCGCTCCATTTTTGTTTTGTTTACCACCACCTCACTGTTATTTTTTTGCTCCCTCTTAGGAGACGTCTTTCTTGTTCACTCTCATGGAAAATTACGATATTGTAGGGAGGTTCCGGAGGCTACCCGCCCTGCCGTGTGCGCTGAAGAGCCTTTGCGCATTAATGCGGGCACTAACCCTGACCGCGCAATGTTTATAGGCTCCCGGTGTCACGAATGAAAGCCGCGTTGTGTCGGTGTGACCTTTCGCTGCTAAATAGGCCTGGTTGTGGACGAGCCACAAAGCCTTGTAAAGAGGGGGGCCTTTGGGGGGAACAGCTGAGGTCCAACTCTCACAGTAAGCATCGTTCCTCCCGCCCCATCTCGACCTCGGGCGGCAGCGGAAATTCTGCATTCCCGCTTCAAGAGTTATCGTAAAAATACCTCAACGAGGGAACAGAACTTGTCTCTCCGGGCAAAAGGTGCTGTCAATAAAAACAAACCTAAAATATCCGACATCCGTTTTTTTAAACGTGTAGTTCACAAGATATATACGCACAACACCCACAGTGCGCGCACACACATAAAACACAATGCTGCACGTCTTTGTTACTATTGTCATTCTAATGGACAATGACAAATGACCCTATCAGCCAGAGAGACATTGACGTTGCAAATGAAGAGCTGAATTTTAACCACGTGCCCCTGGGTTATGTGCATTGAGACTTTGAACATGGTTTCACCCAGAGCAATGACCCCCAGGGTGGGCATTGAAATATTGCCAAGAAGACATTCTAGAATTGACATATTTAGCAATTTAGTAATTGTGGGTAATTGTCCAAATGTGTGTCCATGACAATGGGACTCAATAGCCACCTCTAGAGAAACAATGCCACCATTTATTTTTCTCTCTAAAACATTGATCAATGGTATTTTTGTCTGATAATGTCCCTACATCATTACCAGAGGGCTGCGGTGGTGTATACATGTGTACGCACATGTACGTTTGACAATCAATATATGTACACCAAAGTGATAAACAAAGATCCATCCTTCAGTCTTTTAGGCGACTCTTGGGGAAAAGCTGTTAGCGAGCGCCTATTAAGAGCGGCTTGGCGCACTAAGGAGCTGTATGTGAGCTAGCCTCACTCTTAGCCACGTTTGCCATGCAAGGCGCTGTGTGGTGCCTATCCCTTCGCAGCAGGAATTCACGTGAGCCCGATATGATGCCAGTGAGAGCCAGGACCGGTTCTGATTTTAATTCCTGAAGGAAGCTCCCCAGGCACGTGGAGAAAAAAAACGTCGGACATTATGCAAAACAACCCAAAAATGCATCGGAGAGTTACGTAGGAGCGTAATCGTGAAAAGTCTGTGCAGTGAGAGGACTGATCCTTGACCACAACAGCTGGAAGGACAGCCTACAGATGATGACTGACATTTACCTTTTTGTTACACTCCTTCCCTCCCGCAGCACTCTGCAGTGTGCACTTCGGGAGATGTTTAATGGGTCGCGCGACTGATTTTCGTGTGCGCATCTCCTGTAGCAAGGACTATGAGGTTATGAGGAGTACGTGCACCTACCTGGGGACATTTATGGGACAGGAGGAGGTGAAATGAGTGGCAGTGGAGGTGGCTGTTTCGTGCGGTTCTCCACCCATTTCGATTACAGGCTGCCACCGGCTCTCCAGCGGAATTGAGCAAAATGAAATGACCATAAAAAAAACAAGCGGCGGGAGGCACGACAGCGTGAGTGACTTTTGGACGTCAGAATCCGAGTGTTTTTTAATCGGCGTGAGTGTCTTGGCGAGCGATTCACGCACGAAGCAAAGCTGACAGCCAGAACGGAAGAAAAAACAAGCGCAAGGATATGTAATGAAAATAACCCACCACCATCGCCCGCCGTGCCTCCCATCCTATTACCCGGAGACACGCCGTTTTGAATCGGCACTGCGGTGCGACTCGGCACAACTCCAGCTCGAGTCCCGTCGAGGGTGGCGAACACATCTGCTGAGCTGCTCGGCACAGCATCATTCGAGTTAGTGCACTCGAGACGACATCTCTAAATTTAGAGTCCACGGCTGGCCAGTAATTAAAATGTGAAAAGGACAATTTTGTCCTTTACACGGGGAAGTGATTTGACAACACGAAGGGATTTAGTTTGCAGCGGTTGTGCGGTGTGTCTTTGAGCGTTAAGAAGTGACGGCATCCTATTGATTGGCATGGAACCCAGGGAAAGAGGGGCAGAGGGCTTGTTTGTTTTGAGCATGTGGGTGAGCGTACAATGTACATGCAAGCATGCCCGCTTGACTCATCGTATGTGGGTCTTTTTTTATCATGGGAACGCAAATAGACTGCGTGCTATTCAAGCAAAGTTATTACAGAAAAAAAGATTTCAGAAACTATTCATACCTACGTTGACATCAAAAAGCCGCTACTGAGCACAAACACAGGTGAAAGGGACTGAGAAGCAATACATCAGCCCACGCCGTTCTCATTACAGAGTAGTGATTATCAGCGTAATACACGGCCACTACAGTACATGTTACGCATATCCATAACAATCCTAAATGAGTGTACCCTCTATTGATGTACTCTATGCATTACTATATTCCTGTAGTCCTATGATACCGCAGTATTATGAGGACGAAGGTAAGGAGAGATGATGGACGTGGCACGACAAAATTATTCCTGGAACAACATTCCAAACTCTTCGGGATAAAATGAAATAGTTACATTATATGGCATCACACACACACAGTGTGGGTCCATGCCAAGCAAACCTCACAGTCACAGAACAAAAAACACTCGTTTCTACACTTCAGGAAGAGTACAGAGTGGACGCTTGTGCTAAACTATTATTATTAATTTGACCCAGACGAATGACAATGCTAGGTCATTAGCTTCTTATCATCTTGGGAGATGCACTGCGATCACAGCAAACAAACAAGAACCTCCCGCTGGCCTCAAACTGGCGCTGACATCACCACCGCAGTGATGCCACTGCTTGCGCCAGGCTAAGTGCACCTTGCGTGTACCCAACACAGCCCTCGGCGAGGTGTCCTCCACGCATTTACAATTTGTTCAGCATCACTCCGAGCGAGGCCTCATGGGGGCCTCTCCAGAAGTCACCTGTTTGTTGTCCGTTTGAACGCGGAGCTAATTGAGACCGCAAGCTCGCGTGGGCCCTCTGCGTAGAGCCGAGAACAAAAGGGGCGGTGGTAGCAGTGGTGGTGGTCGAGGGTGAGGACACAGACAGAGAATTATAAAAGCAGCAGCCATGCAGCTTTTTCGGGGACAACATTTTCCCATGAGCAGCCACTGCTTAGCTCTGTGTTGTTCAGCCTATATTTACACCCACTCAGCCACTAAGCGCGTGTGTCACATTAGAGGACAGTTGTTAATTTGTTTTCAAACAAAACCGATGTGATATTTTATGTGTGTGGAGAGCGGTAGTGGAGTGGGTTGGCGCGCTGAGCTTTGAACCCGGCGACCCAAGTTCGCTTGCCACTCAGGACCAACACCGGGTGATGATTATCTGAACCTGTCATGGGCCTCGTCTAGTTCGACTCAGCCTCAAATGAGTGCCCGGTGCGATGTTTAAGCATCAGCGCTGCGGAGACAAAGACGGCTAGACGTGGTCCTGGCCACCAGCCCTTACCTGCCGGCCTTCACAAGAGCTCACTAACAGCACTTGCCCCAACAGTCTGTCAAGGCTATACGGGGGAATCTTCATCATTATGCGTGTGCCATTCATTTCGCTACTGTATTTGGTTTTAAGACGCGTGCAGTGTGTGTGTGTGTGCTTGTGTCTTTTTTTTACGCACGTTATGCCGGTGGCAGTAAGCTACCGCTTGCAGGATCTGCCAGATGTAGCTCTTCACTTGGGATTCAGGAATCCTACGGGGACGGACAGTTCCAACCAACACAGCATTACAGTGTCATCATCATTAGCGTCGTCATTGTCAACATCATGATCATAGTAGCAAAGTGATAATCAGGTGTCTAACAATGCAAACGTTATTAAAATGTATTCTTACTCTCCCAATACATGCATCAAATCATGCGATTGAGTATTTATATGTTTGATTAAAATATTAATTCACAGCCCTTTGTCAATCCACTGCTGGATCAAAGCCCCTCCACATCGGGGTTTGTTTGACCATACATCACCGCGAACATCGTGACCGTACGTCAATTTCAGAACCGGAATCTTAATTTATACCGGAGGAATCTGATCAGCTATAAAGCTCTTTTTCACAGATGTCCAGCATTTGTGAACACTGAAAACACTTGATGAGAAACCCCAACGTTTCATCGTACAGAGTTCCAATGGTTAATTCATTTTTGGACAAAAGAATGCAGGAACAAACGGTACGGATGATGAGCTGTGCCTGATGTATCACCTCAACGCGATACTTCTGGGGTTGTAGAATTGTCTAAAACGTGTCTGTACGTACGTGTGTATGTTGAACTTATTTTGACATCGTATGTAGCCGACCGTGTTAATCGGAGGTGTGTGGGCTTAACTCTCTTTCTCAAGTCCTCTCTATATGTTGGAGTGGAGAGGTCAGGATGGTTTTCGGAGATGTGGAATGATGCGGGGGTAACATGATATACAGTTCAGTTTTATTGGTCTGAATTGTCATATTTTCATATTTGGTCTTTCTAAATTGTGAGGTGGCAGAAATTAGAATATCCTTTGTTTAATCCAAACAAGAGACATTGACACTGATTCATGTTTAAATGTACTGCTTCGGAGGGGCTGGTACCACCCTCTTAAGAATACAACAGGACTTAAATCTACTATTTAATTAATTTAACTTCAGCCACAATACCATATTTTTTTAAAGTTCGCTGTTTTATATTGCTATCCCAAAGCATTGATGTTTAATAGCCTCCCATAAAACACACATGCTTGCAAATCTGATTTATACGGACAAATATTTTGTTTCCATTTGGCTTAAGCACTTATCAAATGGTTGACATGAGCAGTCGGAATCAATGCATTATTTGTGCCATGACGGACCAGGTTGCCCACACATTCGTATTATATATAAGATCCAGGCTAAGTGCAACCGTAACCGGACGACATGCATTCAGTTCGATCTATATTTACACACGTGTTTACCTGGGTGACTCACTGCACACAAACTGTGCCAATATATATTTAACCGTGACACAGGCAATATATGGGTGAACGGGCTTTCCGATGTAAATAGCCTCGCGCTTGTTGGTACAGTGACATACGCGGCTGGCTAGTACCCTAACAGCCTGTCTGCTGTGTCGAGAACCAAGAGTCAGCGGCCCCACCCAACAGCGGGTTTTTACCATGGGCCATCGTTCATCGTAATCACAGGTCTTTTTTTCCACTAAAGGCGGTTTGATTGTCAGAAGCCTCCCATCCCCCGTCTTCGCGAAGGTAGCAGGGTCCAGTTGCGGCAGGCATTGAGACAGTGCCAGTTCGGTAATTGAGTAATTGTGAGTGATCCTGCAAATTCGGCTGCGACCCTGGCTCACAATGGGGCTGCTCCGGGTGAGCGGTGTGATGTGTCTTGCAATGAAAACGCGCGCGCACACACACGTACCGCATAACTGTATCTCAAGGTGAATGCTTCATGGACAAACGGATGAAAGGAGGCGTAGGTCAATTTGCTCTGCTTTGCGCTCTCTCTCTCTCAGGACACACGCTGGAGTGAAATTGAAGGGGAATGAAAGGTACAATCGACATGGAGGCGTTTCGCGGGTGGGTTCGTGAACTTTCTCGGCTACACAGAGGGGTTCACGTCTCGCTGCCGAGGTCAAGACGAGAACGGGCCCAGGTTTGACATTGCCTGGGAGTGAGCCATTGCTCAATGCAGAGCACGTACGATGCGAACATTATTCTTGTAGACAAATATAACGTTTTCAATCGTTTTCAATCCACTGCTAAATGAGCGCCTTCCCCCAATTCGCGTGACATCTTTCACCACACTGGTCAGAGCGGCTTTTCTAAACAGAATGTCCAGCTACTGGTCCCGTTATCATGTGCTACTGATGTCAGCCATGCACCCATGTTAACCAATGGTATCGTCAGTTAGCACTAACTTCTGCGCCACTGCTCTTTCAAGAAAAACACAAAAACGTAGGACTATAAAAACGATATATGTGCACGAAGCATGCAATGATATATATCATGACATCAATTTACAAACGACACTCACGCTCATACGACATGCGTATGTGTAAGGAATCGCTGTACAAATGAAACAGGAAAACAGGAAACAGCATGAACAAGACCGTAAGTAACTTGAATTTGAAAATGAGACTTGGCGTTGAGGCGATCCATTCGAGTTGCTCGAGAGAGCGGGCCGTTACGCGGTCACTGCACAGGGCGCTCGGTTTTTTGTGAGCACGGATTTGAAATGCAACGTGCCCTGCGCTCACTCGTCAATGCGCCAGATCCACATCACTCGTCTGAGACCGGTTATCGGAAAAGGTGCGCCCAACAACTTCTTACCCGCATTATATAATTTTATATTTATCGTTGAAAAAGCGGTAACAACAAGAGAGTCATTTAGATGGCAAGGGGCGTGCAAGGGCCGAGGAATGAGTGACCGTAACACAGCGCACGTCGGAGTCACGAAAGGGCTATAGGGGAGGGATGGGAATGAGTGGAGGGATGAGTGTTGGGCAGAGGAAGGGAGTGGGCAATGGAGAAGAGAAGTGGTAGCCGACGACACTGGCCCTGTAGTTTTGTGTCAGCAATTACACACCATGTTCAATCCCCTCTTCTCGGTGGAAATAAAAAAAAATTGCAGAAATTGTTTGAACTTGGCTCTTTGGCAAACGAATGACGTCCTTATTCTTAGTTCTTTCGGTAAAGTCACGTTGAAGGGAAACAACAAAATAATAAAATATATATAAAACAATACAAAATTCTCACGACGACCGTTTGTGTTATGGTCGAAACGTCGTGAGAATTTTTTATTGTTTTATATATAATTTATTACTTTGTTGTTTCCCTTCAACGTGACTTTACCGAAAGAGCTAAGAATATGAATTACTGCAGTCACGAAAGCTTTAAATCAAAATTTGAATGACGTCCTTGTTCACCTCTGCCAACGCAGTATATCCTCCCCCCCCCCTCCCCGAGTGCTTTGTTTGGACCGAGCGAGCCTGTGCGACGTATATCGGGCACGTGAATGCGATCCCGCTACGCGTGTGGCAGCCGGAGTGGACGCGCACGAGCGGCGGGCCCCGATTGCAGGGCACAGCAAGAGAACGCGGGGACCAACCCCCGCGTGGCATTCCGCTCCGCAAACGCGTCGTTATGGTGTCGTCTCTCGTGAGACTTCTGCGCTTATTCGGCTCCCGGCGATGAAGAAAATCCCACGACCGTTGAATGCTGTGAGTGCTAAAAGCATATTTAACCCTACACAAACCCCCCCCACCACAAGCCACACGTATGCCTCCATAGCAACAAGGCGGCGGCGGGCATCGGTGGGCGCAGGTGTGTGTGTGTGTGCATCAACAAAAATTGATTTTTCAAATGATTGGGGATGAGGTGGAATAATAACAATATTAATTAAATAAGTCTACATACTCATACAGATTTGTTTTGATGGCACTGAGACCGGCTCGCCGTGTCCTCGAGGGCACCACTGCGTGACGCACGCACGGCAACTGCCACGTTCATCAAGCAAATGTATTGCCTCTGCTGCTGCTGTTGTTGTTGCCTCTGCTGCTGCTGTTGTTGTTTACACAAAAGCATGTTGTGCTTTTCATAAAGAAAGAAGAACAGGGTTGTTTTGCATTATTTCGTACATGATGGCAATTGCTGATCACCACCGACAAGACATTGACTCCGTGCAACTCTACACGGCGTTTTTTGTGGGGAAATTGCCATTTTTTTGTTCTTTTTTTATTAAAATACCACGTCTTAAAATTAGACGAAGGCTGTCTGCAATTACCCCAATGTTAATGTTTCAAGTGGGCATGTAAACAATTCGGACAAGGGCAACGGTATGCATCATGTTACGCAGATAATTCTCGAAAAAATATATTCCCAACGACTAGAAATTACCCAGCAACTAGAAACTACCCAGCAACTAGAAACGACCCAGCAACTAGAAATTATCCACCAACTAGAAACTACCCAGCAACTAGAAGCTACCCAGCAACTAGAAATTACCCAGCAACTAGAAATTACCCAGTAACTAGAAACTACCCAGCAACTAGAAATTACCCAGCAACTAGAAACTACCCAGCAACTAGAAACGACCCAGCAACTAGAAATTATCCACCAACTAGAGACTACCCACCAACTAGAAACTACCCAGCAACTAGAAATTACCCAGCAACTAGAAATGACCCAGCAACTAGAAACTACCCAGAAACTAGAAACTACCCATCAACTAGAAACTACCCAGCAACTAGAAACTACCCAGCAACTAGAAATTACCCAGCAACTAGAAATTACCCAGCAACTAGAAACTACCCAGCAACTAGAAACTACCCAGCAACTAGAAATGACCCAGCAACTAGAAACTACCCAGCAACTAGAATTTACCCAGCAACTAGAAACTACCCAGCAACTAGAAACTACCCAGCAACTAGAAACTACCCAGCAACTAGAAACTACCCAGCAACTAGAAATTACCCAGCAACTAGAAACTACCCAGCAACTAGAATTTACCCAGCAACTAGAAACTACCCAGCAACTAGAAATTACCCAGCAACTAGAAACTACCCAGCAACTAGAAATTACCCAGCAACTAGAAATGACCCAGCAACTAGAAATTACCCAGCAACTAGAAACTACCCATCAACTAGAAACTACCCAGCAACTAGAATTTACCCAGCAACTAGAAATTACCCAGCAACTAGAAACTACCCATCAACTAGAAACTACCCAGCAA